TGCACATGTAATGCAAGAATGATGAAGTGATCAGCTGAGAGCCAAGAGAAGTGCGTTTTGCATAGTCGTGTTTCCCTGTGCCCTATCCACCTCATGAACAATGACTTAGAGTTTTTTCATGAAGGTCTTCAAAAAGTTCATTTTAACCAACGTCATCGGTCCACACCAACTTGTTTCCAAAATGCACAGGCTTGTCTATATGTTCATTTAAAGTTCAAACAGATTTTTGGGTGGGACGTAGAAGGGCAGTAACTGTGAGAGGCATGTGGAATAGAAGTGTCTGCAATGGAGGGATCTAGGTCAGTGGGTTTTGAATTGCTCACAGAGCGAGCTGTTCTGTCTGAAATTTTTCTTGGTCTTCCAATCTTTTTTAACTTCCACTGCTAGGTTTTCACATTTGAGCTTCTTTAAACATTTTGGAATGTTTTTTATATTTTCAGCGTTTTCTAGAAAACATGCATTTTTCATGCAGATGAGTTGGGCATTTAAAACCTTTGATTACATCACCTGGTCTTCCCAGATGATGATTGAGACAATCCATGACACTGGCAGGAGAGGCAAATAGATGTGTGCGATTCATTTGATTACGAATTGTAAATTCGGACAAAATTTTCTTTATTATTTCTGGTGACTCAGATGTATCTGAAATTCTGAATCACACAATAGTAACGAATTTCAACAAATCCGAAATCAATTGTAACAAACAAATTATCCAAATTAAAATTTGTAACAGTAAATTCAAATCTATCCAAATTCCGTACTATCCAAATTCAAATTAGAAAATGAATTTGAATTTGGAAATGAATTTGAATTTACATTTGAAAATGAATTTGAATTTGTAATGGAAACATATTGCAATAAATACAGTAAAGTCTAAAAGTGAAATAAGATGATGAATCCTACTTAGGTTGCTTTATAGAGTAGAATAGAATAAAACAAAACAGAATAGAATAGAAAATAATATAATATAATAGATCAAAACAGAAAAGAATATAATATAGAATAAAAAATTAGAATAGAAAAAAAAATAAAAAATAGAATAAAAAAATAATAGAATAGGATATAAAGGAATATAATAGAATGGAATACAACAGAATAGTAAATAAAAGAATACAATAAAATAGAAGAATAGAAGAGATATAGAAAAGAATATAATAGAATTAACAAAATATGATAGAAAATAAAAACTAGAATATAATAGCATAGAATGAAATAGAATTAATATAGCTATCTTCTGAAATTCACATTTCGAATAGATTTGAAAATAATGAAAATATGAAACGAATCCAAATATACGAATTCCGAAAGCAAATCATTCTAACATAACCTATCTTAACGAATTAATAATACAAAACGAATGGAATAGAATAGAATAAAACAGAATAGAACAGAATATAGAATATAGAATAAAAGAAAACAGAATAGAATGTAAAGGAATAAAATAGAATAGAAAAAACAGAATGGAATATAAAAGAAATTGTGCGACTTCTCAGTTAGTTGCATGATTTCAAAGTCGGGCTTGATGTGACCGGGGGTGTCAATGAATGAATCCGAAACAGATTTTTCCATTATGCACATTTCTAGAGGCAAGAAAGTGCACATTTTTAGGCCTTTTTTTTCAGGCACTCCCATTAACGCTATAGGGGAAAAAAATATGCACCTCTTGCCCAAAGAAGCTCATGTTTTTTTTTTCAAGCTTTGGAGGACAAGCTTCAAGCAAAACACTGCTCAGATGTTAAAGGGTACTGTAGGATACTATACATGGGGAATCCTCATGCAAAGCATTGATGTGCTTCAAATTGCTCAGGTGTGAACTGCAGATAAAAGCAAACACAGTCCTTGTTGGACAAACGAAACTAATCCAAATATACGAATTCCGAAAGCGAATCATTCTAACATAACCTAACAAATGAATACAAAATGAATAGAATAGAACAGAACAGAATAAAATATAGAATAAAAGAATAAAATAAAACAGAATGGAATGTAAAGGAATGGGTTATTGACTGATTAGATACTTGCCATAAGGTCATAGGTGCCATCAGGATCATCATCTTTTTCGTCCTCCTCTTCACCATCATCATCTGATCAGGAAATAAAACATGATTTCACCATTACATTTACCAGCCATTCAGCATTGCTCATCTGGGAGTTTTGTGGAAATGACATTAACTTTCATAACTTTTTTACCATTTTTTCCAAATGACTTTATTGTAAGTTCCTGGCCATTCCCAAAGATCTCCTACCTTCACCTTCATGGTGTGTGGTGGTGTGTCGCAGGCTTCCACCCAGGGGCGGACTGACAACTCATGGGGCCCCCAGGCAATAGGGGGGGATTATGGGGCCCTGTGTCCTTGCCCACACCCAAAAAAAGCCTATGAAAAAGCCAAAGAAAGGTACCAGGGGTATCTCATTGGGCCCCCTACTGACCCCGGGACCTCAGGCAGTGCCGAGTGCTCGAATGGTCAGTCCGCCCCTACTTCCACCTTAGCAGATGTATGCCTGCTCACTGAATGGTAATAGAAGAAGAACCAACTAAAGTGTGTCTGTGGGTAACACTGGATTTTCCCGGGAAATGACCCTCTGTCTCCATGCCTGACTTTGATACTGGTGTCCGACTATTGCTAACCCAAAGTGGTTGTAAACCTCAGACATGAAATATGAACAAAGCAAATCCCTCTATAGTGTGTACGTGTCTCAATCCAGAGCACTAAGTGTCATTTCTGTCTGCTGCCTCATTCCTCTGCTGTCAGCATGAATCACTTCTGACAATTTTTCCTGACACCAAGAGAAAAATGGTGATGGGGGAGGGACCTCCAGCTGATTGACAGCCTCAGCTCTGTTCCTGTGAGCTATGTGAAGGGGGGGGGGGGTGTCTCTTCCCTCCAATCAGCTCTCTGAGATCTCCTCACTGAGCTCTGCATAGTGTAACTTCCGCTGCATGCCCCTTGCTTTCTGAACTCTCAGACAAGCTTTATAACGGATGTAGAGAATGACTGTAGAGAGGAGAGTGGTACAGATAAACAGGTACAACTTATGTAGGACAACTTATGTTTCATCTCTGTGTATTACCTGAGGCCAGACACTTCACTGGGTATATAAGAGTTTACAACCACTTTAAATTTATTTTTTAAATGCAAGTACCTGACTGTGACTTGGCATCAGCTTCTTGCAGTCCCTGTACAGCAGGACTGAAGTATGAGAGGAAGAACCAGCACAAGCAGCCAATCAGTTCATGAGCTGACAAGAAGCATGCTGATAGGGTATATGTAAAGGTTTACAACCCAAAAACAAACATAATATATTGCAGCTTACAGGTCCTTAGATGTGGTGACTGCATTAGTTTTCTTTTTTTAAGGCTAAGAACATTTTCAGCAAGTACAGAAAATACCTGTTGATCCTGCCATAAATGCAGTGTTCTTATCACTTTTTGTGAGCTGAACGGACAACAAAACAATCATATCTTTGTTTTGTAAACCAATCACCCCCCCCCATGTAGTGGAGAGGTGCAAAAGTAGACCTAAAGTCCAGCCTGGGGCTCCCTGCATAGATACAATGGAGAAGTGAGTGTAGCCATGGAGGGGCAAGAAGTGTGTTAGTCTCAGGATCACAAGGTGAAAATAACGGGAGAAAAGACATTAGACAAAGAAAACAAATGCAGCCACCATATATAAGGACTGTTTATGCATCATAAAGAAGGCGTCATTGTAGTGAGTCTTAGATAGAAGCGCAGCTTATGCCATGCTGGTAAATATTCTTTTCCTCTTCCTTACATTACCAGGAAATCGGTTTAGTTCCATTTGCAGCAAGGAGCAGAAAAGCATACAGCTCTGGCATGGAGACGTCCTAGTCAGTCTATACGGAGCCCATGTTCTGCCATTTGTATTACCGTCATCATCATGGCCGCTTCCATCGCCATCATCCTCCTCTGTCTCCTCATCTGATGACTTCTCTTTTTTTTTCGCACTGCCTTGGCCACCTTGGGCAGTTTCTTCTCCACCCATCCGCGATTCCGCAGACATCTGCGTATGACGGGGTATGGACCATGGATGCTGAATATCTTTTTTTGCTGTGTAACAGGGATGGGGAGAAAACAGTATTATCAAAGTGTTACTAAACCCCAGACCGTGCATTCAGTATATCTGGTCTCCCCGGACCCTGCATTCAGTATATCCCCCCGGACCCTGCATTCAGTATATCATTCGGTCTCCCCGGACCCTGCATTCACTATATCTGGTCTCCCCGGACCCTGCATTCAGTATATCTGGTCTCCCCGGACCCTGCATTCAGTATATCTGGTCTCCCCAGACCCTGTATTCAGTATATCTGGTCTCCCCGGACCCTGCATTCACTATATCTGGTCTTATATCTGGTCTCCCCAGACCCTGCATTCACTATATCCGGTCTCCCCGGACCCTGCATTCACTATATCTGGTCTCCCCGGACCCTGCATTCACTATATCTGGTCTCCCCAGACCCTGCATTCACTATATCTGGTCTCCCGGACCCTGCATTCAGTATATCTGGTCTCCCCGGACCCTGCATTTAGTATATCTGGTCTCCCCGGACCCTGCATTCACTATATCTGGTCTCCCCGGACCCCGCATTCACTATATCTGGTCATTCACTATATCTGGTCTCCCCGGACCCTGCATTCACTATATCTGGTCTCCCCGGACCCTGCATTCACTATATCTGGTCTCCCCGGATGCTGGTCTCCCCGGACCCTGCATTCACTATATCTGGTCTCCCCGGACCCTGCATTCACTATATCTGGTCTCCCCGACCCTGCATTCACTATATCTGCTCTCCCCGGACCCTGCATTCGATCTCCCCAGACCCTGCATTCACTATATCTGGTCTCCCCGGACCCCGCATTCACTATATCTGGTCTCCCCAGACCCCACATTCACTATATCTGCTCTCCCCGGACCCTGCATTCAGTATACAGTCCCCATATTCACTGGTCTCCCCGGACCCTGCATTCACTATATCTGGTCTCCCCGGACCCCGCATTCACTATATCTGGCCTCCCCGGACCCCGCATTCACTATATCCGGTCTCCCCGGACCCTGCATTCACTATATCTGCTCTCCCCAGACCCTGCATTCATATATCTGATCTCCCCAGACCCTGCATTCACTATATCTGGTCTCCCCAGACCCTGCATTCAGTATATCTGGTCTCCCCGGACCCTGCATTCACTATATCTGGTCTCCCCGGACCCCGCATGCACTATATCACCCCGCATATATCTGGTCTCCCCGGACCCTGCATTCACTATATCCGGTCCGGACCCTGCATTCACTATATCTGCTCTCCCCCGGACCCTGCATTCACTATATCTCTCCCCGGACCCTGCATTCACTATATCTGCCTCCCAGACCCTGCATTCAGTATATCTGATCTCCCCAGACCCTGCATTCACTATATCTGGTCTCCCCAGACCCATTCAGCATTTCACTATATCCTGTCTCCCCGGATCCTGCATTCACTATATCTATATTCACTATATCTGGTCTCCCCGGACCCTGCATTCACTATATCCGCTCTCCCCGGACCCTGCATTCACTATATCCGGTCTCCCCGGACCCTGCATTCACTATATCTGGTCCCCCCGGACCCTGCATTCACTATATCTGGTCTCCCAGGACCCTGCATTCACTATATACGCTCTCCCTGGATCCCTTCATTCACTATATCTGGTCTCCCCGGACCCTGCATTCACTATATCCGCTTTCCCCGGCCCCTGCACTATATCTGCTCTCCCCGGACCCTGCATTCACTATATCCGCTCTCCCCGGACCCTGCATTCTTTATATTTGCTCTTCCCGGACCCTGCATTCACTATATCTGGTCTCCCAGGACCCTACATTCACTATATCTGGCTCCCTACCTGCGCCGCTATTGGCTCCTCGGCATGTCAATCACCGGGTCCCGGCCGCCGATTCTCGACCAGGACTTGGTGATCGTTGGGGGAGCTGACAGTGGAGAGGTCTGTATGTGAACAACACAGATCTCTCCCCTGTCAGCAATGGCATTCTGCTTTGTATTGCTCTGCGCAGTCTCCCTAGTAGAATACACACAGCACATAGTTAACCCTTTGATCGCCCCTCATGTTAACCCCTTCCTGCCCAGTGTCATTAGTACAGTGTCAGTGCTTTTTATTAGCACTGATCACTGTATTGGTGTCACTGGGGACGTTAGTGGCAGTTAGTTCCCCCCAGTGCCAGAATGCATGCCGCAGTCCCCTATAAGTCGCTGATCACCGCCATCACTAGTAATAAATAAATAAATATTCCAGTGTATATACCGCCATTTTTAGATGCTATAACTTTCACGTAAACCAATTAATTTACACGTATTGGGATTTTTTTTTAGCAGAGACTTGGAGCAGAATACATTTTGGCCTAAATTTATGACAAAATTTTATTTTTTTTTTCTTTATTTTTTGTTTAATAGCTAAAAGTCAAAAATATTGTTTCGTTTTTCAAAATTGTCGTTTTTTTTTTTTATAGCGCAAAAAAAATGCACAGGTGATTAAATACCACTGAAAGAAATCTCTATTTGTGGGAAAAAAGGACGTAAATTTCATTTGAGTGCAGCGTTGCATGACTGCGCAATTGTCAGTTAAAGTAACACAGCGACGTATCGCAAAAAATGGCCTGGTCAGCAAGGGGAGTAAATCCTCTGGAGGGCAAGGGGTTAAGCCAGAGTGCATGGACCCTGAATTGATACCTGAACAAAGATGGTCCTGAATTTAAAAAAAAAATACAGATGAAGGCATTTTCAGGGGGAGTGCTGTGACCTTTGTGAGAAGTCACATACTGGCGGGATCAAAAGGTAACAAAACTACGCTACATGGGAATCTGAGAAAAACAAAAACTGCTTTGTTATTAATAGAACCAGACTATTATTGTTATTGCTAGAACATAGCATCCTTCTCTATGGCATGCTGCAGGAGACACGCTGTTTCTGCTTTAGAAAGAAGACAAACTCTAAGGCGTGTATTTATTAAGAAAAAAAAAAATTACAGGCCTCTTTGTCCTGAGAAACTACATGTACGTCCTGTGTGAACCAAGGCAAAAACAAACGCTAATAGGCTTTTTTTCTGTCAACCTGGAGAAAAAATAGCCTAATTACATGAATTTTTGCCCCAATTTGCACAGAAGGAATGTACATGCTCTTTCACACGAAGAAGAGATCTACATTTTTTTTTTTATAAACACACCCCATAGCTTTTGCTTGGAATATATTTAACTGATTTACAATGACAGTTCATTTGGGCTCCCAGCTTGGCCCTTGTGTCACGTCTCATATATATTAAACCCTAAAGATTTAATTAATTCATTAACGGGGGAATGAATAATTATCGTGCCGCACTTTAGAGTATGCTGAACTAGTTTTACTGACCTTAATTGCTTTCTCCACTAGGAGCTTGGCTAGCTTCAGTCTCTCTGGGTTGATCATGGTAGAATTCATTGTTTTTCTTATCCGTCCTTCGGCTGCCATAGCATGTGTACATAAAGATTAGATTGCGATGTTAATAGAGGCGGTTACGCCTGCCCTGTCTGCATGATATTATTGTATCTATACCCAAGAACATTTTATATCCATCTCAGCACACCAGTTCTTGGTGGCGGCTGCGTTAGTTCTCTTTCTTTTCTGGCTTTTTCTTTATTTTTTCACCTAACGATCCTGCCAGAAACACACTTCCTGAGTGACAACGCTCACTCATTGTACTGTATAGAGGAGCAGTGTTGTCACCCTAGGCTGATCCCCTGATTTGGACTATAAACATCTACTCCCTCTACCAGAGGCGTCCCTAGGGTTGGTGTCACCCGGTGCAGTAACACATGGTGTCCCCCCTCCAGAGAGGAGTGGTGCCGGTGTAGCGGTAAAATGAGTATCCCTTGAAGATATGTAACCCCTGAAACAACTGCACATGTGGCGGTTTCAGGCCGAAGAAGCCGATCTCTTACTTTAGCACAGAGCCAGCGATCGGCTTCTTTGGCCTGAAACTGACACATGTGCAATTGCTTCAGAGGATACTTATTTTTTACCGCTACACCGGGGCGGGGGCAGCTGTCACTATGCCGGCATCCTGCTCCTGCACCCCCTGTGATTGTGGCCCAGTGCGGCCCGCACTCCACGCACCCCTATAGGGACGCCACACTGCCCTCTATATGTCTCTTACTTACATATGGAGGAGGGAGCTGGGTAATTTACAGAAGATAGCTTGGAAAGCTGATAACCTTGATGAGATCAGTGCACAAGGAGATACTAGATTTCTGGCAGGATCAACAGGAATTTTTCTATAGTTGTAGAAAAATGTACTTAGCCTGAAAAAATAGTGTATCTAAGGACTGCAATACATTACATTTTTATTCTTGAGTTTAGCTATACTTGAAGACTAACGTTTCTGATTCTTTCAAGATAAGATCCACACACAAAAATGTACATTTCTCCTGGCACAATCCCTTTTAGTAGAATTGCAGTGATAGAAGGTGTTAAAGTGTCTGCATACCAATTTTTTAGCACTTGCATATGATCATAAAGATAAGGGCTGTAATTATTAGAAAAATAAAAAGTTGGATGAATGTGACAAGAATTCATCCAGCCTTTCTCCAGCCTGGACCTGCTGAGCGACGTCAGCCGACAGCGAGCTTCAGCCCGCTGTCACCTGAAAACGGGTCACAGAAGTGAAGAATGAACTGCACTCCTGTGATCCACAGGAAAAGTACAGCCAGAAGAGCTTTGGCTGTACTTCTCCTTTAATACAGTGATTTTTTTTTTTATGATTGTCAGCTCCATCTAGTGGCTTTAATGTGGTATTTTTCCTGAAATACTTCAATCAAAAACAATACCTTATTATGGCCACTAGATGAAGCTGATGATCACAGAAAATCAATGTATTAAATATAAATATGGTCAGAACTAGTCAAAGATGGGCAAATGCTTGTCACACTGGTCCAACAAATATTTTTTAGAAATAGTCCTCTATTTGTCAAATGTTGTTTATATATATATAATATATATACAGTTGTGCTCAAAAGTTTGCATCCCCTGGCAGAAATTGTGAAATTTTGGTATTGATATTGAAAATATGACTGATCATTGCATAATGCTCTTTTATTGAAGGATGATATGCATTATTATGAGTCATAGCTAGCGTGACATCACTGCAGGACTCTCTCTTCCTTTGCCTGGGGTTCCATTCTGACAGTGAGGATCCCTGGAGGAGCAGCTGTCAATCATGCTGTCCTGCAAGCTGATGAAGAATGTCACCTGTGGTGGCTAAAAGGGGAAACGTTTGGGAGTGCACAGCTTCATCCCCAGCGGAAACTGGAGCATGAGCAGAAAAAGTGGTACACAGAGCATTGGCTGGAATAGGGTTGTCACTCTCAATAAGGAAATACAGAGCTGGGTGGATGGTGGACCATCCAAGCATTGCCTTCAGTCTATATTTAATTTTCCAGTACTGGTTAGGGGATTAAATAGGGAATGTGATTAGTAGCTGTGAGAAGATGCTGTGAGCAGATGTTCATCGTGCATACCCATTGGGCCCCATACATTAAGGTCGCTGAGAGATGAACAGTTCTGGTTTTCCATAGCAACTAACCTTTGCTGGAAACTTAAGAATAGAGAGCCTGACTGGTTCGTAAAGCCTAACTGCATGAACTATTTTTCCTCCTTAAACTATTATGCATGAGGCCCTCCCATACGCATCAATAGCGAGTCTTTGATTGTTTTCCTACCATCCTGCTTGTGCTTTTCCACAGCAGACCGAGGATTCTTTTTGAGGTTCCCAGTAGGAGATGGTGCTCGATGGCCTTCATGTTGACTTTGAAGATTCAAGGAGGTGCCTGGAAAGTATATAATATTTTTTTTAAATGTGCCCCAGCTGCTCATTCAGTGTTCATTTTTTTAAACAAGAGCACAAATATCATGGCCAAGTCATATAACCAGCAGTGACATTCAGAAAGTCTACTCTACAACTTCTAGATTGGGAGGAACCTATATTCAGAAATGATGAACCAACCTATTTTATATAACATGGCCACACCAGGTTTCTGTAGATGACTTGATGCAGTAGTGGCTATAGATAGGACGGGTGTCTTCTTGAGTAAAAAATCCAGTGAGATTCCTGCCCGCCCCTGATGGTACTGTGACCCACAACTATACTCACCCAACCTGTCCATCAAGTGGAGCTTATATGGTTTTTTCTACTACCTTTTGGCCAACTGGCTAAGAGATGTTCCAAGGAGGTAAAACTAAAATCTTCTGATTAAAAGTTACTTTTTTTCACTTTTGATGTGTACCTATGGATGGCCAAGGTGCAGTGGGCAGAGGACTGGAGACAGAACCAAGATAAACAAAAATGGCAGCCACCTGAATTTATAACTAGCTTTTTTAAGTAAGATCCACATAAAAGAACTTTGCTATGCAAAGGCTTTTTATGTGCACCATACTTTAAAAGCATGTTATATGTATGTTCGGGTGATTGCCATTTTTATTTAGTTAAATTGGTTAAATTGAAGCAGGGACACGTTGGACGCCTTCAGCTGTCATTGTGCTTTGCTGGACTTCTTGTGTGTCCCTGCACCTTTAGGAAGGAATGAGACGCCTCAAGGTATACCTGCCCCTAATGTACAGTACACAATGCTATACAAGCTCCAACATGGAGACTCTCACAGATTAGAACAGCCTTTTACAACCTTTATAGACCAGAGGAACCCCTAAAAAAGTGTGGAGA